TATATAAAATATAATAATCAAAACAGCTTTCCCTGGAAGACAGTACTAACAAGTTAGCATTCTTTGCTTCTCTTCTGTGATTGTCATACTCACCACTTTTGCATCAATGGCCACCTGAGCAAAGCCCTTCCGATCACCCCAGATAATAGTATAGAATTCATCACTGAAGAGTGCCTCCCGAAGTCCACCTGGGGCAATGGCTATCAGATAGCCCTTCTTCAGAGCACTGACACATTCTTCTTTTGGTCCATGTATACATCCAGATACATCAAGTAATATTTTAAAACCTGTAGGGTAAGATAATATTAATTCAGAAAATGTTAATTCATACTACCATTGAGTACAGATTCCTAACACAGAACACAATGGCTAAAACTTACTTGCCTAACAACCTGTAACCCCAAATCAGAGATGTTACTCGAGGGACTGAAGTCCTGCTTATAAATTTTGGTCTAAAAGTTGAAGATTTAGGGTTTTCAGTGGCTTTTTGTCATAGTAAAGTCAGGTGCTATCTCACAATCAGGACTAAACTGGAAAAAACTGGCAAGCACTTCTGCGACATCTTTCATGTGTCCCTTCAAAGGAATTGGAAAGTTGGCTCCAGGGCACCGGCTCCTTGCCCAAGCTCTACTTTTCAAATGTAGCACAGTCCTAATAAAGTGCAACAAGACAAAATACCAGCAAATTGTTGTGGTTTTTTGTTGTCAACTTAGCAGTCTATGCACAAGAAGGCGAATGACAAGGAAAATGCAGCATTCTCTGCGTTACAGATCAGTGCAGGAATTGACTCCCTGGTTCAGTCTGTGAGTACCCAGATGGCCTTCCATGCAAAGAGGCATCTGGCACACCTGGATTGGGTATATTCATCTTAAGTTAAGACTTTTCATTTACTGAAGTTTTTAACTGTACAATCACATAAACTCCTCACATCATCTTGAATTTGAAATGTCATACTGACCCTACTCTTCAAGAAACAGCAGAACATCAAAAATTTGCTTACAAGCATCAAATGGGTACACAACTGATCAATTTAGACAACTAGTCTAGTGTAAAAGAACATAACTAGCATAAACCTCTGTTTGCAGGAAATCAGTCATGTTCACTTGGTTCAATGAATTTTAAATTTATACAGTATTTATTATGAGTACTGAGTACCAAAATGGGAACTTTAGATGACTGAGCAGTATGGGAAAGATTACTTCTCTTTCTTGAAGTTTCCCACTGAGGCAAACAACCTTATCATAGACAAGGACACAGAAATGATCTAGTCGAGTTTGCCCCTGAATAACAGATCTTCATTTTTTTTAACCTCAGATTAACAAATTAATAGTTGTTACTATGAACACACATTTGTCACATACACACACACACACTGAAGAAGAGTCCAACTATAGTTAAGAAGACAGAGATCTGTCTCCTCTTACAGCCCGCATAAACTAAAGGCTTGGGAAGGAGAGCATGAGGCAGCATGTCATTACTTTATTCTTAACTATACTCTGATCTCTGACTAGTCTTTGTAGTTGGTGTGAGTATAATTACTCCTGATTTATACCTATACACAATCGGGATCTGTCTGTAAACATGACAACAGAACACAAGCTGCATTACACCCACTCATATTCTGCTGTGCCTGCCTCACACACTGCTGATGACGCTAGCAGTCTTCATCTAGTAGCATTTGCACAGAGGACACCCGAAATAGAGTTTTCCTAAAGTAATTTAATTTCTCTCAGGTGCTTTGTTTGTGGGATCTTCAATAGCTGGTTTTTACAACGTTTTACATTCCCAAACTAATTAAAGCTCTCTGGAATGTACTGGGTGGTAGGAAGCTGCCTGTCTCTTAAGCTCCTTCAGTCAGTGAGTTCAGGAGAGAGACAAAACAGTCATGAGAAGCGTTGAGCCAAGCAAGGCAAGAGACTCCAAGGAAGCAGAAGCTGCAAAGATAGTTCTCCTTTCTGCATTGGAGATGCTGGGGAAGGGGCAGGGGAGGTGATAGAGCAACACCATGAGTCTGTCCAGTTCATAGGTCAGAAAAAAGAAGAGAATATAGACAGAATACAGGCAAAAATTTGTAATACAGAATAGTGGTGGGGTGGGGTTTCAAGTCTTTCTCAGCTGTATTTCCCCCCTTGACTTTTAGTATATACCTTACATTCTGAGCTGTACCTCACAGCCTAGCCAGCAGATCATACATTACCACCAATATCTCTGCTCCAGTAGCAAAGAGGAAGAACCAGCTCCATTAGAGCAGCAGAGAAACAGGAGCTAGGGCAGTGGCCCTAAAGGGGCAGCCAGGGTACTCTGTGCCCAATGCAAAGGTCATCATGGAGTCAGAAGAAATACTGGGGTAGTACCTGGCTGTTGCATGAAAGTGACCAAGAATCTGGTTTTCTACTTTAAACAACAAAACAACTCTCCAAACTATCTAAACACAGATGTTCAGCCTTCCAGAGCATGAAGGGATGCTATTTTTCCCAAACACCAAGAAGTCCAAAATTAATTTTAATCCACAGTTTAACCTGGACTCTGCCCTTTGCCCCAGCACACTCTTCTGCTATTTTCCACAACATTGTGTCCGCACCGATGTATGAAAACCCTTTGGAGAGTACACAGTAATGCATTTAACACTCATCTCAATAAGTGCACTATATACATTTCTCTAACTTAGCCCCAGTGACTGTAATATAGGGGCCATCAGCTACCTGGTAGCAAGATGGCAAGGATGTCATCATTCTTCTATGGTTGACCTTTAGGACACAGAGAGAGAGGAATCATTTAGACCACTGAACCCAATCTTCCACAATTGTAGGTACATGTGCATGGTTATCTGCAGAACATCCAGTCCACAAGACACTTTGCAACACCTTGTGTATGTAACAGACAAGAAGCCACAGCTCCTTTCCTCTGGCACATTACAGGAGAGGGACTGTCTTAGATCCCTAAAATAGCAGGCAACCTTTTAAAGAGGGGTCCCAGGTGAGTCTAGGAAGCAGACATGGCCCATACTATAGGAGAGGGTGATGGAGAAGAACACAAGCGAAATCTCAGTCCTCACTGCACTCTTTGGGAAAAGATTTTCTCTTAACTCCTGAGCATTACAAAGCTAAGAATCTAAAAGAACCAGAAACCATTGGAATGGGTTTTTTTCTGTGACTAACCTCCAGTATCTAAAAGAAAAAGGAAAAAAAGAAGCTGCAGGACCATATTTCATATCCTTCTGCCCCAAAATGTAAGCAACAGAAGCATACACAGCACTGATACAGTATAAATTGAGACAATGAAATAATTTCCTTTTACATCAACGTGAAAGAAAAATGCATTAGGCTATGTTCAACAGGAATCTCCAGATACCTATAGATCTCCTGTTAGGTTAGATTCCCTTCCATAAGTTACCAAGCTGTATTGTCCAAGACTAAGCAGTAGGGAGAGGCATGCTGGACTCCTTGCAGGTTCATGCATCCCTTTGGAGGCACAGCAATGTTTTACAAACACAACCAGTTAATTGTAGTTAATTCAGGACAGCAGTGCCCAATGCATAGGATGCAATGAGACTGCATATAGGCAATTGCATACTAGCATGGACCTGAGATTCGGATTCATGGGACAAGCCAATTCAATAATCATAAAAACAGAAGGATCATTAAATCATCTAATCCAAGTGTGTCTAACAGCCTACAGACTCCCCAAACCCACCCCCCACCTGACCCCCCCATTTCTCCTGCATTGAGCATAATAACTTTTGGTTAACTAAAACATCTTCTGAAAACGCATCCAATTTAATCTGAAGACTTAATCAAGATCAGGCAGTCTTAGTACTAGCGTAAAATTATGGCAGTCTTTCTGGTTTGATTCACAAGAGAAGCGGCATCTATCTGGGTTGCCAGTCATAGATTATTGTGCAGATTTTGAAACACAATCCAGAACATTGTCTTGGCTCTTTGAGCTTGTCTCCCCTGAACAGCCTTAATTCATTCACAGAACCAGAGAATTATGTAGGTTGGAAGGGACCTCTCAAGGTCATCTAGTCCAACCTCCCACTCAAAGCAGGTCCAACTAGATCAGGCTGCTCAGGGCCTCACCCAACAGTTTTGAAAGTCTCCAGGGACGGAGATTCCCCAACTTGTCTAAGCAATCCGTTCAGGTGTCTGATCACCCTCATGGTAAAATACCTTTCCACACATCTAATCAAAATGTCATGTCTTGCAACTTGTCTCTGTTGCTTCTCATTCTATCACTGTGCACCTATGAGAAGAGTCTCACTCTCTCTTCTCTGCACCCTTCCGTTAGGTCACCAAAGACAGCAGTAATGCCTTCCCCCACCCTTATCTGGTACAGACCAAACAAATCCAGTTCTCTCAGCCTCTCCTCATACATTGTGTGCTCCAGCCCCCCATCATCCACTGAACACACTTTAGTGTGTCAAAATCTGTCTTGTACTGGACACCGCATTGTGAGACGTGCTTGCACAGGTGCCAAGACAAGGGAAAAAAACCTCTTCACTCAACCTGCTGGCTACACTCATGCTAAAAGAAACTCAGTGTGCAGTTCATCTTCTTTGCTGCAAGGGCATGCTCCTAACTCACGTTCGACTTGCTGTCCACTAGAATGCCAAAGTCCTTTCCTGCAAAGCTACCTTCTACCCAGGGTGCTGTCACACTGGATTGTTCCGTCCCAGATGCACAACTTCACATTTGCTTTTGCTAAACTTCATGATGTTTCTGCCAGTTCATTTCTGTGAAGATACTCTGAATACCAGCTCTAACCCCCAGTGTATCAACTGCTCCCTCAGTTTGGTATCATCAGTGAACTTCCTGTGAGCACACTCCAACCCCTCATCTAGGTGCGCAATAAAAACATTAAGCAGCACTGGTCCCAGTATCAATCCCTGAGGAATGCCTACAGAAACCAGCTGTTAGCTAGACACTACTGCTGAA